CTGCTGAAATATATCAGTGTACTCATTCCTGAACTATTTTCTCTCTATTAAAGGTCCAGCATCTTAGCTGTGCTCAATCTGCTCTCCAATAGAAGGTCTCTGCAATATTTCTGTGATTACTATTCCAGGAAATCTATTCAGGAATGGTTAAAACATCATCTTTAAACAAAACAGCAAGAAATCCAAAGGTTTTTTTTCCCAATTCAGCTTAGGTTCAGGAAAGGACAGGCTGCCTCATCAACCCCTAAACATGAAGCAAGACTTGAAACTTGGCAGTTCTTAACATTAACAAGCTAGCAGACAATTACAAACTCCTGACTAAATACACTCTGCCTCTAGCAGAGAGGCTGTGTTGTTGAGAGCCTTGTCCTGACCTGCAGTCCCAACAGCATGCCAGATCTTCAAGGCATTACCTGCCTGTTTATGTAATTTGGTGGCAAGAAGGCTAACATAGCACTAGCCACCATCCCTCAGCAAACCACCTAAGCCTCCCTAATGTGGAGTCTAACTCTTTACACGGACAACACCACTGCTACCAAGATCAGAAAAATCCATTCACCCAAAGCAAACAGGGCCTCTAAGCTACTAATTTCTGGAGCATTTTACCTTTTTCACTTCACAGAAGCCTGTACACAGCTTTCAGCCCTGCCAAGGTGCTATTCTGATACACACAGAATCAAAGCTGGTGCCTTGAGCCTGCAAATAGATTCCCCCAGTGCAACTGCTGTGGCATAGTGCAACTATGCAAAACTAGACAGTGCTCTGTTGGATCCTTTGGCAGCATTACATCTCACAAATCCAGACAGTGCAGCAAGGTAGGACTGTGAAATTGAGACACGTCCCTCAGTAACTTTTGTGGACTTGTGGAACAGCAGGGCATACCCTTTTACCACCCTTCAATAACAATCAGGCTGCAACACAGAAAACCAAAGGCCTTATCTTTCTCACTCAGCCCATCAGTTACTGCATGACAGCAGCAGTCTCCAACTGAAGGACAGAGACATAAATACAACTGACATTTTCAGCAACTTCAGGATATTGGTCTGCAAGACCAGCTACCACCAGGAGAGGAAGGGAGAAGATACCCAAGACTCATTCAGTTTAGGTGCCACCAAAAAAAAGTGTGGAGAATGAAACAAGTTGCTCTGTCTGCTCCATCCCAAATATGGAATTTGTACTTCTGTCCCTGTCAGAAGATAGCATCTCTCATCTTCACCAGAAAACTGCTGGCAAAACACTAAGCTTGCACTGAAGTCAGTGCATCCCCATGGAGGCATGTGGTCAGCAACACATTCTTGCAGAGAACACTGTTTCATAAGCCTTACTTTGCCATTACTGAGAAGTAATAACATCCCTGTGTTTATTTTCATGGGCTCCACTTCAGTGACAAGGCACTCAGCTTACTGCCTTGGGAACAGCAGCTACACAGGTCAGTAGATCAGAGCAAATATTTATTGTGGGTCAGTGCAGGGCCCGAGTGTCTCGTAGCTCTTGAAGCACAGGAAAAGGATGAAACCACCTAAAAAGACCCGTGGTCAGACTGTGCTGAGATGTTCAACTGCCAGGTTCACTGTAGAAAACTGCCCTTGTCTGCTGATCCAAGGGTAGATGCACTGGAGCACACCCACTGATGTTATGTGACACCACCATTTTGGAAAAGTTATTTAGGAAAAAGAACTTCTCCTCTTACCCACAGGTGCCACAAGTATCTTTTTAAGATGAGTCCAATCCAAATCATGCTCAAGTCTGAGAAACCAAACTGATTCATTTGGGGCTATTTATTTGTAACTCCCCCCACTCCATCTATGCAGAGCATGGCCAGGGTTAGGGTTCCTATGAAGTCTTCTGTGCAAGTTAGAAGAGTTATTCCAGACAGGTCTAGTCTCATCAGAGACATTCTTAATTACCTAGTTGTAGAGGGTAAGAATTTACACTGCAGTGCCCCACACCTCTTGTTTGCAAAGGGGTGCTCACACCACTTGGGATGAATCATAAGATCACAGCTCCTTTTGCACATGTTGTAGTTAAGCCAAGAAATGCCCTGCTCTGATGTTGAAGTTTTCTTCACAGAGATGAACTCTCCAAGAAGCAGCTTTAAGGCAGGTCATGAATAGGCACTTATGAACTGTCCTAACAGCCTAGGCCAATGCCATTTCACAGAATTTAAGAAGAAACTTTAGATCTGCCTGCTCTGACCCGAATACACAAAGCCAGACAGTTTGAGGATGGTCACTTTTGCAACACTCCCACAGCTCTACCACACAAACAAGCATTTTGCCACTCTCAGCTCAAAATATACCCTATGAGGGGCTTTAAAAGACAGCAACATCCACAGAGATCTAGGAGAAGGGAAATCACCTTGTACCCATTAAAGAACACCACCACAGAAGTTCTGCTCAGCAGAATACACACAACCTTGAGTTGCATCAAAGAGATGGAGCTGACCCACAGCATCATCCAGCAGAAGCACATACTGCACTGAAACGTGCACATACGCACGTCTTCCAGTCATGAAGACAAGGAGAATTAGAGAGCCTTTGGATTCAATTACCATATTGCCTAATGCTTGTAATTAGAGGGTAGAATAGACCGGGAAGCTTACAAGCATCTTGTTCAATGAGAAACTGAGGATTTGCATGCACAGCTTGCTTAAGTGTTAGAGGAACTACCAGCAAAAACATCTGAGGAGTCAGTGGGAAAGTAGATGCTGCCATTAAATGCCATCACACAATTATTAAAATAACTGAAGCAGCACAATAACTGCTCAATAGGGATGAGCCTCCTGCATACCACTGAGATAACCCTGCAAGAAACAGGAACTTTCCAAGATGAGCTTTCAGGAAAAATAAATAAATTAGAAGCACCCCAAGGACCTGCAGAAGCTGGGAGTGGAGATACCCCAAAGCAGCATGTGGTGGAATGGAAAAAGCCACATGATGCAAAAGCTGAGACTCTGGGAAAGTAGATGCTGCCATTAAATGCCATCACACAATTATTAAAATAACTGAAGCAGCACAATAACTGCTCAATAGGGATGAGCCTCCTGCATACCACTGAGATAACCCTGCAAGAAACAGGAACTTTCCAAGATGAGCTTTCAGGAAAAATAAATAAATTAGAAGCACCCCAAGGACCTGCAGAAGCTGGGAGTGGAGATACCCCAAAGCAGCATGTGGTGGAATGGAAAAAGCCACATGATGCAAAAGCTGAGACTCATATCTAGGCTCTGGGACCTGGAAGACCCAGATCTCTGCTGCAGTGATTGGGGTAACTGATTTTCTTGCTGCAGCCCCTTAACTGACTGCTCCCTCTGGAAATCTGTGCCTGCTGGGTTTTCTTTACTAGCAACAGGCATACACATGTTAAATGTTAAACTAAAAGTAAGCACCAATTTTCCAGTCACAACAGCTACTCTCCACAGTTGTGAAGGAAAAATATTTTATTGGTTAAGACCAGCTAATGGTAGCTTTTTCAAATTAACTCAGGCAAAGAGCAAGCAACCCAAGCAACACTGGAACAAACCAAACTGGGCTAAAATTGAATTTTATTTGGAAAGCACAATTCATTGTCACTTTCTCAAGCAAGCCAACAATTTCCTGAGTAGTCTCATTTGGAAAAAAAAAAAAAAAAAGGAAGTGAGCTGTATTAATAGCCTAGCTAATTGCACAGGATGCTTCACTTTTATTTTTGGTGGGGAGTGATGGAAGGGAGATTATGTCAATGGACACACAGAAGTAGCAGTTTGAACAGGAAGGTTTTCTACAAACCTATGGTTCTATAAACCATTTGGTCAGAAGCTGTTATTATTTACTTTTGTAGCTTTGCCAACCAGAGTGAACAGCCCAATGCTTTAACATCAAGGTTCACTTCATGTGCATGAAAGCTAGAAACTTAAGCTTTCAAAGCCCATTCATTGGTAAAACTGAAGTTTGACTACTTTTTAAGAGCATTTAATTAATAAAATTTGCACTTGCATGCAAGAAGAAAAAGGTATCAAATATAAAACTATTTTCACTTGGTATTCATAACAGCATTTAATCACCACCAAAGATGCTCATTTTAAAGCACAGCAATACCCCCTACCATCACTTATTTAAGACCAAGCACAGTAACACTGAATTTTAAAAAACAAATGCCTGTCACTGTAACTCACCCACATTTTAAACAAAACACACAAAAGGCAGTGTGTCCTTTCCTTAATTTTCAGAAAAGAATTTAGTACTTGAAGAAAAATGAAAGACCACAAACATAATTCCTTACCCTGTATGAATAGAGTGCAACATACTAACATCCAGCCTGAAATAAATCATTCTAGGGATACCAACACTAGCTGTAGGGCAGACAAAAATTTAGCTTTTCATCCTTCCATTTTTTTTGCCATTTCCAGGCAACATGTACCTCAATTAAGGAGCCTGAATTATTATCCAACTGACTAGCTTCTAATTTGAACAATGTGAACAAACTGTGTTAAACCATGACACAGAGCCCCACAAGAAATGAGATTAAAGTTGTCTCTTCACATTTAGTAATCTTCTAGTTAACATGCAAAATGACAAGAAAGCTACTTTTAAAAATATAAATAAATACAGGCAGGCCAACAGAAAATAAGGGCTGTGTCTGACTGCAGCTAAGCAACTTGTTCAACACATTATCCTCCAATGCTTAGGTACTCAGGGGCAATGTGATTTCCACAGTGGCCAGGATCCTGCATCTGTGCAGTGGCCTGTACTGAAAAATAGCTTGAGATTGAAACCTGAGCCCCACCAATATTGCTGGGAAACATGGAAAGCATCTTTCATTCGATTTGATGGCAAAGACACACACTTCTCTCACACCAAAAAGGTTCTTCAAGGCACCACAGTCACAAATATCTGTGCTGTGTTATTCAAAAGGCCGTGAGGTTTGTAGTTTCCATCACCCTCACAGCACTGCTGGCCCTACACTGCAGTCACCCTCAATGCACTGGGAAGAAATGTGTTCTGGCCTAGACATGGAGGCTCCCTTAGGGGACAACGTAAAGAAAGTGAAATACACTCCTGGGATCTTATTGTAAGCCAAGCCTACAGAACTGCAAGGGTAGAGTATAAATAGCTTTCTTTCCAGTGACCAAGAAAATGACAAACCACATCCCTAGCAGTGCTAAAGTGTGTTTAATCTATAAGGCTAAAACATGTAACAACAGTCACTGCTGACCTACATAGCAAAGACTCCAAGACCAGCTTTTATTGTCATGGATCTTACATTTTCCAATTATCACCAAGGATGAACCTTGCAGAAGAAGAGCAGTGATTCTCTGTTTATTTTGGAGGAATTAAAAAAAAGAGAAAACCATCTGCTTACTTAGATCTTACACAAACCCCAGCAATTTTAATGAGCTAAAACAGTCAGTGTTTTCTTCTGGATCCAGAGGATATTCTCCATACTGTTCTACTTACTGTGAAGATAGTCTGCCAGGTCACCACCATTACAGTACTGCAAACAGAACAGAAAGCTCAGTTAATGCAAGGCAAATGAAAGATTAAAAGACAAACAGTAAACTTCACAGGGATGGCAAACTTATCATGGTGTTTAAACATAAATAACCACACTCATGTCAAAATATGTACTCAGAAGCTGGCAGGAAACAACCAGCATTCCAGTAGGTTCCCTTTCCGTCCTGTTTCCCCTACAGGTTACATTGCATTATGAGCCACATTAACTAGCTTTTCTGCATGTGCACATCCATGCACATCAGAGAGACATAAAACCAGAAAAAACAGAAGGGTCACCACTGGAGAGACCACCAGAAAGCTGGTTGAGAAAAGCCTGGGAGCAGCCACAGATAAAACTGAAATTCCCCACATATCACTAAGCAAAGTCAGCAAGACCTGAGAGTAAAGACTCCAGAGGAAAGAAAACATTCAAAAGCTTTGCAGCTAAGCTGTGTGGAGAAAATTTACTTTCCATGTAGCTTTGAAGCAGATAATACCCAGTAACACCCATCTGACCCTTGAGGTAAGAGTCTGGCTGATTAAAGCTCTGCCAGCATGACCTTCTGACAGCAGCAATATGAAAAATCCCCCTGGCTGCTGTATTCACCCAGACTGCTCTGGTTCTCAGAGGCATGCAGCTGCAGATTAGGTTAGCAAAAGCATCACAGGTGGGACTGTAAGCAGCGAGCTCTACTTGTGTAATAAACTCTCAGTTTAAACCAGGTTTTAAAAAAATTAATGAACAACAAAAAGACACACTCACCTCCATAACCAAGTAGACAGAGTTTGCCAGTTCCTGTGAAAAGAGAGAATGGAAAACCAAAAGAATTATGCACTGAAATATTTCACATCTGTTATATTTGCTGTACTTCTTTTTGAACAGGTAAGCTTTGCTTTACATGATTCAGGCTGAAGAGAAGGGGAAAACTTAATTATAAACTAAATCCTGGAGGAAAGTGCCAGGCATTTAAGCATTTTATTCTTTTCTCTGTGTGTACCTATTTAACCAAGCAAAATTCCTGTATTGTTGCTTGGGTCTTCATGTTCCTTTCCAGCTTTTAGGTTTAACAGCAGCATGCAGCAGAGATGCTGGCACACTACTATCTTAGAGCCTTCATAATTTCCACATTTAACTTAGCCCTTTCTAGCAGTTATGCCCACATGAACAGTGCTTGTCTGAAGAGAGATAAGAGAAACACAACTTTGGGACCTGCAATTCAACCCCACAGCTGAAAAGCACCTAATAGATCCAGCCTTGATTTGAGGACAAAAAGGAACCACCTCAGGTCAAAAACACATCATTTACCAATGAACTTGTACATGTGCATTAACAGAGTGCTATTATGGGGTGGCTAAAGCTTTTTGGACTATCATGAGGGTCAGTGCCAGCAAAGTCCAGGCCAAATGTTCATCTTAAATTTGCTACCAGGTGCTGCACTGTTACCCTGCCTCCCATCTTGAGAGTTTACCTCCAGCCTTTAGCTGATCTTTTCCACTGGGAGCATGTACCAGGCAGGATATATACTGCAGAAGCACGGGATACTGCAGAGAAGTGCCCCACAGACACGCAGCAGCACAGAGCCCAGCAGGAACCCGTGGCTGTCCCAGACACACTGCCTGCCACCCACCCAGCAGAGCCAACCACCACCAGCAGAGAACATGGAAACAGCCAGATGTTTCAGCCCTGGGTAGGCCCAGAAGCGTGAATGACTCCAAAGCCTCTTGTTGAAACAGAGGTCAGACAGAAGCAGACCTGCTACATAAGTCTGTATGCCACACATCACTCCAGAAGTCAAGGCCCAGTCCTGGACAGGCACAGGCTGCAATTACCTGGGTGAGTGGAGAAGCTCGGAAAGCAGCAGCAGAGCAAGAGACTTCACTCTGTTTCCATAGCTCTAGGGCAGCATGCCTCTGCTTACAGGCTGTTTAGATACCTGCCTACCCAGCTCCTCTTTGGAGCCTCACTACAATTGCAAAAAGCCCCAACATCCACCCTACCAGCCTTTTAGTTTCCACGCAGTCTCCACTGGCTGCTTTGAGCCCTTTTAATCTTCATCTGCCCACAGGACTCTTACCTCCCATCAAGCCTGTATGAAATTGACTTTGTCAACACCTCAACTGCTCAGCACCTCTCACCACTTCTCTTGCAGTCCTCTTTTAACCTCAGAACTTGAAATCTGAATTTCCAGATGTTTGCTAGAAGGCTGGTTTGAGGAAGGGGGGAGAGGGGAGGAAGCTGAACTATCTGGGATTTGAGAAACTCAAGCCACAGCTGCACGCAGCAAGGGCTGCCTTCCCTGGAGGGACAGGGTACACTGGGCAGCCCAGCAGCCCCTGAGCACATGGCTCCCCTGGTTTGCACATTAACCAGACCCTGGGGCTGGCCATCCCAAGTTCTTACAGCTGTTCTCACCACCAAGCCCAGCTGAGCTTTTTGGAAGTCCCTTGTTTGTCCAAAAAGCAATTCTGTGATACTTCACGAAGGTGTTTGTTGCATTTCCCTGCTTTGAACAGGCCTTGTTTTCCCATCTCTGCATTTAAAAGCAGCATACGTTACTTCATCCACACTCCAGATGAAGTGGGAAACCAGTCTGTTCAAAAGCAGTAGCCCAGTGAAGCAGTGCAAGAAGAAAACCCCAGGCACCATCACAAGCTTTGCAAGGGACAAAGTGAACATTTTCAGAAGCATTCAAAGCCCACCAGCTCCTGCTGTCCTTAGCAGGGACAGTGGAAAGTCAAGGTTTATAAAAGACATGCAAGGCCTCTCTCTACTCCAGGAAAACAAAACAAGTCCAAAAGATACTTGTAGTAAGATATTAGCCAATAGCTAATTTACACTGTACAGTTCAGTTGTTTTTCCACTGTATGTTATTTAAAGACTCTGCAAACAAACACCAGCAAGTAATTGATTTTTGGCAGCCAGTGTGTACAGTGACTAGGGTTAAATAAGGACCTGCACAGGCAAGGGAGATGCTCTGCTCGACTTCCCCAGCAACAAAGTGACCTTGGTGGTTGGTGGTTTTATTCCACCGACACAGGGTGAAGAGGTAAGAGGCTTCTAGGAGAGAAGTAGGTGGTTCCCCCAACCACCCACTGGCACAGCACCCTCTGCAACACCCAAGCCTTGCTAGAAGCTCCGTCCACCTGCTGCACGCACACCCAGCACAGCAGAGGAACATCCAGCAAGTGCATCTGCAGCCCACAGACACCTGTAGCCAGGATGACACTTTCCACATTTGCAACTTCAGCATTTCAAGACTCATTCACCAGAAAGACATCTGTAGGATTTTTTTTTTTCCATCAAAGTTAAACATTTATTTCATGAAGAGCCCCAGAAACAAGCTCTTGTTTGGAAAAATCCTTCAAGCCAGTAGCTTACTTTGGTTATAGTGGATAAAACTGTCTGAAGAGACTTTGGGTTTCTCAAACAAGCTGATGGACTTTCCTCAAGCTGATTCAGCAGCAGAAACTATTTCTTTTCAGTTTCTATCCTTCCAGACTACTTATGATTTTTTCATTAACAAAACAAGGAAAAATTGCTGCAAGTCACATTTTGCAGGCTACCAGTCTCTCTGAAGAGAAACAAAATGCCCAAACCACTTATTTCCACATCAGTAAGAAGGATAACATTACAGTTTGTCACATTTATGCAGGGACTGATGTTCAAGAAGTGCTACAAATAATTCACTCTGAACCTCTTGCTCACATGTGCCAGGCTGTGCAGTCAAGGCTAAACCTGTCACTAAACAAGCTTGATGAAGGGAACAGCATATAGAGACAACTCCCCAACTTTTCCTTTCATCACTAAGTGCAGCAGTACCCTGCCCATGCTTCACAACAGCACCAAGAGGCCTCTGCCAAAGACGTTAAGCTGATAATTAATCAGTCTGGATCATTGCCTGACTCATAGTTCTTGCAGCAGAGGCCCCAGCAATGAAGTTACAATTTAATTGAGTGTAAAAATAGGCAACAGCCTCTACTGTCTACAAATAACACACAACTGCTGACAGAAGACAAAGAAATGAAACTTCATTTAGCAGTACAGCATAAATCACCCCAGAACAGTGCTATGTTAAAATTCCTCCCTGGGACACTAGGCAGGATGGTGTTATGGAGACCAAGACCCAGCAGTCCTGTTTCCCTTTAAATTTTCTCTCCACTCATACTGGAAGGTGGCATGATTCTCTTCTTGGAAAGTGTGTGTTTAGGTGTGTCCAAAGGGAAATGTCTGGGTGTACCCACAGTTAGTCATCCTCCTACCACAGCTTAAAAAGCCTGTGAGAGGAAACTTCCTAAGAAAAATCTTCCTTCGCACTCTACCCCTGCGCTCAGCCTGCCACCAGGCTTGGGAAGATGTTTAGGAATGGAAAAAAGTTGAAGCTTCAGCTACACAACACTGCGAAACTCTTGTCAGCAAGGCAGTGGTCTCACCAATTTGTCTGGGACCAGTGTTGTGGCAGACACCAGAGTAAAACCAGCAAGGAATGATTTCCACCTCACACAAACCCTCCTTGCTAGGAACGGTGGGGGATGCAGAAGGATCACTTAAAAGACAGATGTCTCTTAAGCTCCACTGTTCCACTCCTGTGCTGAGCACCACATGGCTGACAAGACTCCTACTACTTACAGAAGAGTAAAAATCTCTTGGTATTATTTCACTCTGGCTCACAGCTTGACTTAAGCAGACCAATCTCTAAAGAGGGAAAGGAAAACCATCCTGCTATGCAAGGATTATCTCCTGACGCAACTATTTGAACGGAAGCAAGATAAGACAACAGTAACATTAACCCAAATTGTGGGAGCACCTACTAATACTGACCCTCTGGAAAATAGATCAGCAAGCAGCTAAAAAGTATTCACAGGCCTTTTGATCTCACACAAAGAAAAAAATAAAATGGAGCCTGTTGTGTTTCTCTGTTCTCTGGCCCTGGACTTCTGAACCCTACCAATAAGGCACGTAGGAACATTTCAAGCAGGTTTCCAATTCAGGAGACAACAATTAACTCTGATGAAGGAAGAAAAGGAGGAAAGAAGAGTACTCATTCACTGCAGTATAATCTCCTCTCCACACTGACACACAATACCACAAAATGTTTCTCAAAACCAGGCACAGCTTCACAGCCAGACAAAAGCACGGCTTAGGACAGATTTTTGGGATTCAGGTCATGCAGCCAGTGAGGTCCTGCACCAAGAGAGTTAGCAGGTTATAAAAAGCCAGCAGCCACTTGCCTCTTGCGTATAGGCTACACTGGAAGTGATCCATCTTGGGCTGCAGTAGCAGAATGAACCAGGAAATCACATGCAAGCAACCAATACTATCATTCAACTGTCTACTCTGTATTTTTGCCTGTTTTGGCACATCCAGGTCCAGCAATAAAACTTACTGCTACTGACTGGAAAGGTTTACTAACAGTCAATAGTTCTTTGACTTCCCAAAGCAAAGAGGGCTCCTAATTTCTTCATGTAGATCCCAGGCAATAAGCATAAGAAGCAAGACTCAAGAGAGGCTCACAGGCTTTTGTACTGGCTCTTGACTGTGTTCTGCTCCCTACAGGCCTGCCAGCTTGCTCCAGGACACGGAGCACCAGAGGAGGCACAGGGCAAGCAGGAGGGAGGCACTGCAGCATAGAGGTGGTTTGTGGCCAGCCTTGCTATGGGTAGGTTTCTGTAGGACCAGAAGAACAATGATGTCAAGAGCCCGTGTTACCCTATTCCAAGCACTACGATATTCTCTGTTCATAAAACAGATTAGTTGTTTCAGGACAGGTTGTACTTTGGGGCAGATTTAGAACAGCA